AAAGGGTTCGGGTGAATTTGTGATGCAAAGTCTGCCTAGAATTGTGCTCTGCGTGCCAAAACTTTTGATATTCAGAGCCAGGGACTGCAGTGTGCTCAGGGCTGCCAAATACTGTGTATGTCACGGATATCTTTAAGGAGTACAGTCTCAAGAGTCTGTAATGAAGTTACTGAGCATTGAAATGAGCAAGTCTTTATAGTTTGATGGATTTTTGTAGCCTGATGAGAATAATTCTTTGACAACTTTGACAAGTTTGACAACTTTTACTTTAAAAAAAAAACAAAAAACAAGTTTTATAATTGACAGTGTAAATCTAGTTGGATATCCTGTCCAGGAGGATAATATAATAATAATTAAAATAATTTATTTAAAATAATGTAAAATAATTTATTTTAATTCATTGATTGTTAGGTAAATACAATTTGTTTATAATAGTTTATTTACATTATAAATACATAAACTAATTTAAAGTAAATAAAAAATTTAATATTTTTTAAAAATAATACATGTATTAATTTAATCCTACATTTAATTTAATGTATGTGTGTATGTGTATCACTAAATTATTTTAAATAATAATAATATCATCATTAATTATTAATGAGTAATTAATGATATAATTAATAAAAATAGTAATTAAATAATTACAATAATTTATTCAAAATAATATATGAACAATAACCACCAGAAAAGCTGATAAATTATACTAAATCAAAGGTTTTATATTTTAAAAAATTTATTTATATTTTAAATAATCAATGATATACAAATAGCATATTATTATATAATAAATAAAGTCAATTATTTCAAATTAATTTAATTGAATATGAATCATAAAATATTTCTAAGAATATTTTTCAAAATATGTAAAATAAAAAAAATGAAACCTTTTATTTATTTAAACATTTTAAATAGCTGTTCACACCCATGCTTACACTTCAAATGAATATATTATATTATATATTAATATTAACATATGTATATTGTGCAAAATTAAAACCTGGAAATTATATTTGTTAAACAAACAAACAAATGACACAGCCAGAGCATTGCTTCTTATTTATGAATTTATTCTCAATGTAAACTTCACTATTTCATGCATACAAGTTAAGACAACATACATTATTTGACAAATTCTTGTTAATTCTCATATTTGCATAGGACATAGTCACAATATTGTCTAATATGTAAAAAATAAAAGGTCATAAAAAGGTACAGCAGAGCAACCATAGACCAGCAACAATAATATAATCTGAATAATTCAAGGAACTGTACAACTGTAATACTTCACTGTAGTGATTTGGTTTATTGAAAGAAAAACAAAACAAAAAAAAAAACAAGTTTCATTATGCGGCAGTTGTTTTGAATGAGGTTATGGAGAACAGAACTGGCCATTGCTAGAGAAGAGCTATTGTACAAGTACAGAGGTGCTGGGAAATAGAAACCCAGCGTCATGTAGTCACTGGAGCAGGCATCACACGGTGTCGTTAAAATAGATTGTTAAAATACAGACGGATACGTACAATAGGAAGGCAAGTCGAGTTCACGCGGCGAACGTCTACAGGACAGCATGAGGCCGCTAGTGCCTCACTACGATTCAATATACAACACTTATCGAAATCTCTACGATAGGAGAGCATTTGCACACGATGTGCTTGACTGGTATGTATGAAGAGGGAGGAATCTGAAATCACTTTGTTCCCATATCAGGAACGTCGACCACCCGAACTGATTTCACAGGCGTCGGAGACAAAAGTCGCATGGAAACTGCAATGGACGAGGATGCGTTCAGTCTTTCAAATGGCTCTTTCACAGTGTCTGATCTTCAGAGCACGATTATGGGGTTTTATCTTATGGGAAATGTCGGTGTGTTCATTTGAAATGAATTTCGGCGAACGGTAGGGGGTCGTCTGCATGATTCTCCTCAAATGAGGGGGACTAGGTCCCGACACCTGGGGATCAGAGACAAATGGGCGCCCTGCGGTTTTTTTTTTTTTTTACAGTTGTGAGGTTGTTCAAACCCAACCACACGGTTTGGCAGACGACCAGACTAACAGAAATGACCACAGCCCTCAAAAGCAGTTAGCGTCTCCTGAGTTGAGCAAGAGACAAAACATAAACAACAGTCGAAACTAAGCCACAGCTAAGACTTAAATCCACTTCCACCATTTCAAATAAGAGGCTACCGTTACGCAGACCTCAACTAAATGATGTTTGTTAGCACATGACATCGTAAATATCCATTTCTGAAGTTGCGCTCACTGTCTAGCAACTCAAGAAGCATGTTGCTTTGTTTACCTGGATAGACAATCACTGTATGGCATTTACATATCCATAGGTTCTTTGGAGAAACATCTAACTGCAAAAATACAGTGTAATTTTCACCAGTAAGTGATCTTCAGACTGAAACGTCAAACTTTAACTGGTGGGACTATAAAGGCAATATTTTGCATGCGTACATATTCACAGATATGTATTTCTTGGACTATATTAAATCAAAAAAGCCTTTTGAATGTGTGAATGAAGGTCAACCAAGTCAAACATTGTCAATTTTGCGTAACCATGTTGAAAACTGTCAGCCTTCTTTGATTGTTTCCACTAAAAATGAGTTTTGGGTGCAATATATATTTTTAAAATGCCCCTCAGTTCTTTCTCCTCAATAAAACACTTTTCTGAAACCATCAAACGATGCGACATAAACATTCATTAATTCGATCCTGAAGCCTTTGGTAACATCTATTAAACAAGAACCCAACTCTTCTAATGCAGTCACCCAATGCCAAAAGTGAGAACGTCGTGGCACTACAGCATCCTTGGCAATAGCATCCTATTAAAACGTCATCCTCCATCAGCATTGAGAACATCAGTTATTCAAACTGACCCTATTTTGCATGGCAAGACAATATTGGAACTGATAACTGCACATTTGTATGGAAGCCATCTCGTCTTTTCTCTATTCTGTTGAACGTATCAGAACGTGGCATGGCTGTTTCTTTAGGTAAGAAGAGTATGGAGAAGTTTACAGGATGTTGGAAGGACGTAATACATATAATCACAGTCAAAAAGAGTAATAAGACCAAAATAAATACAAAGAAAAGAAGCTTTGATGCATTGGTTGGATATAAGCAGCATATTTATAGCAAATGTAATTGCAATCCTTTGGAATGGTAGAGCTTTCACGTAGGATGGTGAACAGGTTAATATCTGAGCTTTCACTTTTACCAATATGTCCATTTGTTCTGTACAACAATGACAAATTAAGAAAAACATAACTAAAAGAAACAAAAAGTACATCAAGATCACGCCAAAAGGGGAAATTAGAAATACTCGCGCATCTAATACAGCATTCACCCCGCTACATACACATAAAACGTACATCACTCATAGAAAACTGTACAAGGTCATATTTATCTTGACTATCACTGTATATGATTAATTAAATCACCTTTCCAATGCCTTTGGCACTCGTTATTGAACTAACATGCAGTTTGTTGAATGTAGGATTGAAGGACTCAATAAAATGCTATCAAAATCATTAGTTGGATTTTGTGAACAAATAGATTTGTACAAAACAAATTGTTTCTCGTTGAGTCGGGTGTGTGGGTTTACTGGTAGAATGAAATTTCACGAAAGATGATGCGCTTTCAATATGATGCTCTGTGGCTCGTAAGACCATGATAATTCATAAAAAATATTGTATTTAAATTTGCAATTCATTCAGATATGAAATCCAACAATTTCCCCTACCCCATTCCATGAAAAAAGAGAGAGAAAAAAATCATAACCTTCTCGATTTTTGTAGAGGTATGAGTTTGAAAAGATACATGACAGAAAAATTTAACACATAGATGAAATTCTAATTATGTTAAAAAACAAAACAATAAAACATGAATGTGACTATCTACTCACAATGCTGTGGTCTCTATGGTAATGCGATGTATCAGACTTGATCGTGTGTATCGCATTCAGTCTCATGCAATGTTTTTGAGAAGTTAGGATATTTCCCTTTTTTCTCACTTAAAACCACCATGTTTTCAAATTTGGTGGTTATACACCTATATCCCGCTATTGACAAAAAGCTTTCTTTCAGTGTCCAATTTTACTAGCATCGTTGCAGCAGACAGAAAAGCAAGCCTTATGAAACACTAACAACAAACTTCACAAGAAATATCAATAATAATAATAATAATAAAAGCTAGGATCTGAACACAAAGAAAATTATCAGAAAAAAATAGAACACAATGCAGAAATATTGAACAAATAAAGAAAAATGAGTACATCCGGGGGTTTTAAACCGAGAAACGTAGCAGGTACAGTTTGACTAGTCATGACCTAGACATGTTTCCACCTGTGTTCAATGGTCTTGCTTCGCATTCAAGTAGTATCGGTACAGTGAAAAATACAGAAACACAAGCATGTATTCGTTTTTTCATGTAATTCACACTAACCTGGGCTGTGAGTGAATTTGCATTGAGAAAATACATTTTCAGTAAATATTATAAGGAAAAAATATATATTTAGTTGTGTATACTCTATCTAACCAGTACCCAAATGCAAGAGACTGGTGTTGCCTGCAGGTTTCGGGTTTCACTGAACATGTTTTACCAGGTTTGAGAAGTACTAATCAAGAGGAGGTTGGTTCAAACCGACCTTATTCTGCCCCGAAATACCCTCTCCTGACCAGCAGTTGGGAGTATTTGCAAGATACAATCAAAGGCGGTTGAACAGCAACTTATATAAAATGTCTACAAATGAATTTCTTGCACACAGTGAACATACATGGCCAGCTTGCTTTGGAAGTAAAGCTGACCAGCGAAATTCTGGAGGAGAAATTGGCTAAAGTTGACGACGTCGCAATGGCGATGGTTGACGTCACATTTGAAATGACTTTGAAGGGCCAGGGGAGGGTGCAATCGCAGCTAGACAGCTTTACGTGAGGGTTTATTGCAGAAATAATGCCGCCGTGGCACTTTTTATTTGATTAGGGCTGTTTTCTTTAGCTGAAAGCCATGATTATGTGGATTTTTTTTTTTAAGGGCTATGAGAGAGGCCCATAGGAGGGGGATGGGGGCTGTTAGAAAGGATAAAGGGGGGACAAGGCCTGGCATTCACAGGCCTCCCCACCTGCTCCTCAAGCCCTGGAACGCTCGTCCAGCTGGGCGACTCTTATGCTGGTTTCTCCACACTGGGCATGGAGGGTGGGCAAGGAAAACATGCAAGATAATATGAGACGAGACAAGATGGCTGGTGTTGAATAATAAGCTTATGAATATAAAGTGAAAAACTGTCACAGAAAGTTTGGAAAATTTATACTAAAGTGTCACTTTAGGAACATTGCGCGTATGGGAAAGTGAGACAGTGGATGAGGCAGTGCCACAGTAGTTTTGATAGCGGTGCCTCAGTTCCTGGAGGGACTTGTATGCCTTTCGCCTGAGCGAGTAAGGCCCAGTCGACAGTTTCTCACGGTAACCCTTCATCCTCGCAGGCTGAAGCAACAAAAGACGGTAAATTCATTGTTCACTTGATATGTATGATTATGTACAAATCGAGTAGTAATGCCTAAAGCCCCCTTTTTAACGAGAGTCAAGTTTGAAAGCAGCTGTTCATTGAGGTAATGAGTGGTCACACTGACAAATCAGTGGTCCGCAACAGTAAAACAAAAAAGGATGTGCGAGCGTTTCCCTGTGCTTGTGGAAAAAGTACAGACATTTAAAGAAAGAGCGACTGATCTTGTCTGAGAAGTAGTCGACAGTGCCAAACTGGGGAAAAAATACTGATAACATCTCATTTTAAAAATTCCCAACATGCTCAACTCTGATTTGATACCACATCATGCCTATTGTCTGTGAGCCGTTATGATTTGGGCCTCAACTTCCTCTGTTACAACCCCCCTGGCCGGCTGCTTGGATGCTATCCAATCAGACAAGGCCATTTTCCCTCTTTAAGCTCCTGCAATGCATTGTGGGATGCTGTTGGCGGGTGAGAGGGGAGTAGTAGTGCAGAGGGGAGGGAGGTTTCCATGTATGAGAGAGAGGGAGCTGACTGGGTGTTTCTTCTGCTGGAGTGCTCAGCTCCTGATAAAGCCTCAGTCTTTATCTGTCTCGCTATGGGCCAACCCCCTCTTTCCTGCCTCCTGTAGATAGTGCTCTTTGTTCTCATGGAGGCCCGTTGCTCTCTTCACCACAAAGTGAAACAACCCTGATGATACAAACTCTGACAATCTTGTTCACAATGAGTTGTAAATCCATGTCCTAACTAGTGGTCGACCGATAAATCGGCAGGGCTGGTTAATCTGCTGATATCTGGCCATTTCACAAATAACTGTATCGGTTGATGACAGTGTCTGACAGACCAATATATCAGCAAGGCCCATTAATTAGTCATTTTGATTATCGGTATTGGTAGATAACAGCATTTTAATGACCGATATTTTGTTCAGGGCTACGTTTCCAAAAAGCATCCCAAGCACCAATGATCTGTAAGACGTACTTAGCCTTACGATGCTTTTGGAAAATGCAGCCCAGGCCGATTATTCAAGCCAATATTTATCCATTTTGAGATTACAAGTATCGGCCAACAACCGGTATTTCAGACTAATTATTTAACTGAAATTTGTTAAAATTATCATTAATTTATCATTTCGGTCATTAAATTTTATAATGAAAATATTGGTATTACATCAGTTGCATATCGGTCTCATATCGGTCAACCACTAGTCTTAACCAGGTGCAATGACAAGTGATAACTGACAAAATATTTTGTAAACCAAATGGTTTTGATTTTTGTTTGTTTTGCTGGGTAACTCTGCCCACAGTCCAATCTCACTGGTCCAAATTCCAGCTTCACATAGCCGTATATTAAGCTTCAAATATGGCTGCAATATTGTCACTTTACTATTTGCTGCATGGTGCCTGGTTATGACACGGTGTGTAGATCTGATATCTCTTTCTTTTAAACTTTGCTTTGGCCCTCCATCTATCTCTTTCATACGCCCACTCCTTCTTGTCAGATAGAGTGAGCGAGACAGAGTGCGTAAAGCTCCGCTGTAATGGCTCTCGTCTCCCTGGCTAGTGTGCTATGAATAGCCCTGTGTAGGATGATGCTATTTCCTAAGTGGAAGGCCTCTGCAGATGGAGCTCTGCGGAGGGCAGAGGGCCAGGACTTCTGCTGTTACCTGAGAGAATGCCAACATCCCTCCCTCCCTCCTTCCTCTGGGTAGAATAAAAAAAACCTCTCTGTTCTCTCGTTCACACCTTGGTCTTTGGTGGATTCTGCTCATGTGCTTTTTGTCTTTATTTGAGTCTGAAGTAGGCGTACGTCCAGACAAGTCCCTTTGAATGTGTCGTACTGAAGTGAAAAACCCTGAAGTTGATGAATGTGCTGTTTTTATTGAGGAAACAGCTGCTTTGAAACTTCAGCCTCCAAATTTTCAAGGGGAGTTTAGTTTAGTCCACCGAGAGAAGTGGTGCTGTCTGTTCTCCTCATTGGGTGGCTCAAGCATGTAAAAGTGGACTGATAATGACATTCATGCTATATTGAGAGGATTCCCTTTGAATCATGGACCCAGGCCAACACAGCTCTGTGTGACTACAGGGTTAGCGGGAGATAGCAGTGTTGAAAATAAAGTAATTTCCAGTCTCAAGACAGAATTTCCCCCCTCAATCCTTAGTATCTGCTGAGTGGTTCTGCCACTCTCGTTAAAAGACTGATTTACAAAAAAAAAAAATTTAATAAAGAGAATGAATGACTGTTAAAACCCAGAATTTGCTTCCCCTGATGTGAAAACCAACCAATCAACCAACCAACTCAAAAAAAAAAAGTGCAAAGTTTCCTTTTGTCCAAGTGTAAGGCTGTTTGTAACGTATGTTTCTCTTCATCGTGTTCATTCTTTCAAGCTAATGAGGCCATCCCTGAGCAGGGCGCAAAATTCAACCTCTGTTGAATTTCTGAGTAAAGTGATGCTTGTATTGTGCAGTCAATGTGAGTATTAAAGGAGAAAAAAACTGTTCTGAATCCTGAGGTGTATGTGTGCCCCTCTCCCTCACCCGTTTTAAATAAAAAGAAACTTCTTTACCTGTCAAACCTTTCAACTTTTTAGTTCATTTGAACAGAGCGGTTGTATATGAAAGCAACAAAAACCCATAATGGAAAGAGGCTGTGGCCAGAAGCTATAAAAATACAGACATATGGTACATCATGTAAATATTGCCATGTGGAAAAGGCATTTTCTTTTTTGTGTTTTTTTTCTCTTTTAGGGGTTGCACAAGAAAATTGCACTACAAGAAGCAGTTATGTACAGTACAGTACACCACAGCAAGCGACAGGGTATAGCATGGCGCTTATTATGCCGCTAAATTTTTTAGGGAAAAAAATGATGGATAGAGAAGAATTTTAAAAATGAGCCTGGAGACCCAGGCACCGTGGGAAGAAAGTGCGGCCAGGTTAAGGCGAGTTGGCTGGGCTGAGGGTGGGGCTAAGGGTGGGGCTTGAGGCGTCGGATCGACTGTAATCGCTGAGGGAGCCGGGGCGCGTGCTGCTCGAGACGGTGGCATTGCCACCGCCATGCTGCCTCTTCAGCATGGCCGGCTGGAAGTCGGAGTGACGGCGTGCGTGTTTCATCAGGTGGTCGCTCCGCATGAATCGCTTGTCGCACAGGGGGCAGCCGAACTTCTTCTCGCCCGTGTGGGTGCGATAGTGCCGTGCCAGCTCATCAGAGCGAGCGAACTTCTTACTGCAGTCAGGCCAGGTGCAGGGAAAGGGGCGCTCTCCTGTGACAAACACAGAGAAATCAGAACACACAGCTGTTAGTGTTTACTACACACATTCATGATCACTCAGACATATGTGATGTTTTCAAAACAGACTGTAAAGCTATACAAGTTTTACACTCTTCACAGATTATAGGCCAATGTGCCATCTACAAATAAGAAGTTGCAGCTGTGCTTCAGAGTATTTGATTGTTGAAACTTTACTTTGAACCATTTTTGAAAGCGTATACTTGCTCCAAAAACCAAGGTGTTAAGGAGGCCACATCATAAACACCGCCATGCGTCGCTAACAGCCATAAATAGGGGCTGTGCCAACTGATGTGAACCAAGTCCAGCCCTTATGTGGACAATGAACTCTTTCAGCACAGAAAGTCCTACTGCTGCCTTTTTTATTCTACATGGCCCCCATTAAGCCCGTGCCGACATGCCTCATTGGCATAATATACTCTTTTAAACTGATCTAGAAGCAGTTTTGTGGTTTCTCTTGGTATGCTATCATTCAGCATTCACCAAAGAAAAGGTGAACCTAAAACAGTGCACAAAAGCCATACAGGCCCCATACAATCCAAGTTCACACACTAGAGCAGCTAAACCACCACAGAATCAAGATCAGTTCACACTAAAAACAACAGTGAATGACCCAGACCATTCAGATCCAGGTTTTATTCTACATGGCCCCCATTAAGCCCGTGCCGACATGCCTCATTGGCATAATATACTCTTTTAAATTGATCTAGAAGCAGTTTTGTGGTTTCTCTTGGTATGCTATCATTCAGCATTCACCAAAGAAAAGGTGAACCTAAAACAGTGCACAAAAGCCATACAGGCCCCATACAATCCAAGTTCACACACTAGAGCAGCTAAACCACCACAGAATCAAGATCAGTTCACACTAAAAACAACAGTGAATGACCCAGACCATTCAGATCCAGGTCACGCAAGGGTTTACCTTCCACGGATGGCTTTTAAATCCCAAAATGAGCAGTCTTTAAACAGACGTGAAAGACCTGATGTGGCACAACTATTTAGAAGCGGCTCATGAGAGCGTACTAATCCTCTCCTATAGAAGCAAAAGTCTGCAAAAAGTTTTTTTTGTTTTTTTGTTTTTTTTACAATCGCTAAGCTGAGTGAAAAGCCCACACATTAAACCAAGAATGCACTGCATTAAAAATGAACCATATGTTCCAGCCCAATAAGCATTGCATCATGCTAATTGGAGAATCATGAGAATACTAGGGGGACATGTATCACTTTGACTGCTCCAAAGAGGCTTATGGGATTTACTGACTCATTATTGAGATAACTGATGGACACACAAACACATACTCACTGGTTTATTTGGACCTGGCACACATCTCGAAACGACCTTGCAAAGTATTTTTTTCTTCCCCCAATCCCCCCCCCCCCCAACCGAA